GAAGATAATAAAGGTTGATGATGATTTCGTTAATCAATTTTTCTAAAATTACAAAAAATTGCAATCCTAAAAGCTCTCATTTCAATCATATTATAGTTTTCGTCTATGTCATCGACAACCTTCACTATCGTCGAACAGAAACTCACTCATCGTCGAACCTCCCTACCGACCATCTTTTTGGTTGTCATCTCAATCCCCTTATAAATCTATAAATCAAACTTAAATCCCTAAATCTAATACTAACATCTCGAACCATATAAAAAATTTATCATTCCTAACATAAATTAACTTTAGAGATTTGTAGGGATGGTAGAGGGGAATTTTGAATACAAATGAGGAGGGGGGAAATTTTGCGCAGAAGGGACAAGGAAAATTTTTCTTAAAAAATGTTTTTAAATTGTATCTTAACATTTTAAAATTGTATAACTTTTAAAAAAAAACAAATAAACGCGAAACGTGTTAAATAACAGTCGAATTTAACGGTAGTTACAGCTTAGACATCTAAAAGTGTAACGTTGAAAACATTAGGGACCTATTCTTAGCGAAAAATTCTTAGGCACCTAAAATTAACTTAGGGTATAGTTTGTACATTTATTTTTGCATTAAGTCAAATATAAACATGGACGTGTCACTTATGATTTTTTCTTACGATCGTTACTGTGTAATCACCTAAAAGTATAACGGAAAAAATTAGGCACCTAAAAGTGTATATATAAAGCGCTAACACCTATTTTTAACGAAAAAATTTAAACAAAAAATTAATTTAAGGTATAATTTGGACACTTATTTTTGTATTAAACAAAAAATAACATAAAATCCTTAAGTATAAATAGACAACTTCACAAGGTCTTCGTTATATATATAATTGATTTAAAATCCGGTTATATAATGTAAAACAAAAAAATTACATTAATTTAAATTATAGACGGATCAAATTAAACAATTACTTTTAAAATTATGCAAAAAAAATAGTAATGCTACTTTTAAAAATATTTTAATTTAAATAAAAATTGGGGGGGGGGAATGATTTCAAATCATCAATTAAATGTGGAACTCACAACTACCATTCCTTTCAAACTCCTCAAATTCTAATAAACATAATGATTATCAAAATTTAAATTAATGTTTATGCTAGATTCGATTTTCAGCCCGATTGTATTACATAATTATTTCTAGTTATGTATAAATTTAATTTCATTCCACACTGTTTTACCATATTAATTATGAAGGAGCAGTGGCGGATCTAGAAAAGTTTTTTAAGATGGACACATATGTATTAATAATATAAAATTTTCGTATGAGGTAGAGAAAAATAAAATTTCAGTATGAACACGACTAATTAAATAGGTAAATAACATAAGTAAATTTGAATTTTGGGTGAACACATACTCACTCTGAACAAATGAATCTCCATGAAGGTAAATTTAGTAAAAAAATGTTATGAAGGTAAGCTTTTCTCTCCACCCTAAAAGTTTTTAGCATTTTACATTTTTTTGATTGATAGACAGTAATATTAGACTTGATGTTAGTGGTGGTCATCGGTATTTTTTATTTTTCTTTTTCTTTTTTATATTACATTATTATTTTTCTTTATTTTTAATAACTATGCTTTTATGGTATATATTTTTTTTATCTTTTGGAATGTTTTTGGTTGTTTGACCATTGTTTTTGTTTTTTTTTTCTCAAGGTTAGATTTGACATTGTCATAACTGATCAAGATGACGCTTATTTATTATCATGTTGATCTCTCTTACTTTAGACCCTCAGGTTGAATTTGGATACATGATTCGCATTTATGGATAGTTCTCATGTAGCTCGACTCTGATTTGTGATTTGTGATGGTCTTTCAGTAGCTTGATCCTCTTTTGTGATTCATTTATGAATGCAAGATTTGTTCATATATCTTTTGTTTGAACTTTTGATAAAGTTTTTTTAACTTTTTTCTTGTATGGTCCTTGTGTGATCTTAAGTGACTAGTTCCATGTGTCAATGATGTTGGGATTTTCGAAGCTCAATTTGATCAACCGAAAATGCAAAAAGAGGTTGTTGGCAAAATTTTGTTTAGGAGTAAGGAGATAAAAATAGAAAAATTGGCACAACGATTTATAGTGGTTGATTTCTCAACTAAGTCTAACTCTACTACTGTAGCTTCTCACTAAGGATTTTCTAACAAATTCACTAATTTGTTCTTTCTTTTTCAAGGACAAAGAGATAACCTTTACAAGACTCCCTAGTTTTTCAAAGGCTCAGCTAGAACCAAAACCCCTTTTCAAGGAAAAGAAATGTAAACAAAGAAAACCTCTAAAATTGAATGTGTTTACAAAATTTAGCTCACAAGAACAAATATTTACAAGAGATTAGGAATAAAGAGTTAAAAAGCTCTTCTCTTGTGTTTGATTGTTTGGATATGTATTCTAACCCTACTTCAAGTGTCTTGAACTTGTATTTATATGTTGGAATGAGTTTGTGGTCATTTCTAGCCGTTGGGAGTGTTTTTCTATGCAAAATAAAACTGCTCAATCCAGAGAGTATCGGTACTCCTATAGGGAGTATCGATACTACCTTTGGTTTTTTTTAAATAAAACTAGTTGTTACTAGCGGTTGGGCCTGACGATATCGATACTAAGCCTATGGTATTGATACTACTATGTGAAGTAGTATCGGTACCATTTTTGCATTATGGAATTTGAGTAATATTGGTAGTATTGATACTACCTAGTGAGTATCGATACTTCTCTTACCTTTAGTATCGGTAACATATGAACAATATCGATATTGTTCATGAAGTATCGATACTATAAGAACATTATCGGTACTACGTACGTTGAAAAACAGTTTTGTGCTCGAATTCACTTTTAATGGACTTTGAATTATTTTTGAAAACTTTGAATAAATTTAATTCAAGTCCAAAAATATTTTTACCTTAATTTATTATATCAAAATATAGTTCAACAAATGATTATATAAAAATGTCATAATTATATGTTTAGTTTACAATTATAATTGTAAACTTTCATTGTAATCAGGGACTGCCTTGAGCCAGGGCAAAAGGGGGCGCCCGCCCAAGGCCCATAAATTAAAAAAAAATATTAGTATAATATTTTCCCTTATTTTTATAAGAAATTTAAAAAATTTGTAAAATAAAATAATGGGGCCCATAAGTTTATTAAGGTGTCAATTGTAATTATTGAATATCAATAAATTGTTCTACTTCCCATAAAACTCTAATTCAATATTTCTTTTCCAATTTTTTTAAATCAAATTGAATATGTTTAAGTTTAGTTTTCTCAAATTCCCACCATCAATGCACCAAATCTCTTTTATGGTTTTCCATGTCAATGAAAAATTTTATTAACTTTATTTTTTTTCTCTTCAAAACTCAATGGGAGAAAAAAAAATAAGTATAGTTTGTCAACTTCTTTTCTCTTCCATATTTCACAATTCCTCTGAAAATTATTACTCACTTTTTAATTTCTAATTTTTCACAACACAAAGTCACAATTGTTTATTACAATTGTGGTGCTTGAATCATATTGAAGATTGTTCTCAAAATTCTAGGTAAGATCATGTTTCTGAATTATTTTTATATATTTCCAAATTCTAGATAAGATTGTTCTTTTATTTCCAAATACTATGTTTTATATTGAGAAAATTATATTGGAAAGCAATGATGTTGACACTATCATCAATGATTTTGTATCAGGAAATATTTGAAGGCAATGATTTTATAAGTATTTGTATGCTTAAATATATTTTTGACATTTTTTATATTGTAATGAATTGTTATTTGTTTAATTTAATAAAAAATCTAATAAAAATGTTATATAACATATTTTTTTGAATTTTTTTCAATTAGGAGCTCATTTTCTTATTTTCGCCCCGAGCTAAAAAAATAATCACGACAAGCCCTTATTGTAATTCTAAATATTTTTTTATTTTTAATAAAACTAATGAATTTTATTTAAAAAAAATTATGAACATCTTTATATTTGCAATTCTTGGATTATGATTGTACTTGCATCCACTTCAAACAAATCTAAAATTCAAATCCAATTATAGAATAAATATTCAATTAAGGTTATGAGATATGATGTTTTGAATATATGAATCCAACATAAAAAAAATCATCTAATAAATATACATTTATGTATGGGTTAAGGAATTGTTATTCTTTAAGGTCTTAAATTCGAGCACTATGTATGTAAATATATAAGCATTAATATATGAGCTTTTGAACATACTATTTTGTATTTACCCTATATCAATAGGAAAAAAAACAAATATATGTTTAATACTCATTTAAATTTGGATAACTGCACGAACTCTTGTGACCTCACCTCAATGTTAAAACAACTATTGGTATTCTTTAAAGTCCCGGATTAAAGTATCGGTAATGTCAGGGGTAAAAGAGATCAATGTCAAATGGTTGAGAATTATTTTTGAACAAATACTACCTTGTACTTACCCTAGATTAATAAAAAATTATGGATACCTAGGTTAAGAATGAACCATGGATGGAAAATTCTTTTAACCATTTCTCTCGATAATCTATTATTAACAACTTTTTCCAACTTCTTTATCAATTCAAAAATCCAAGATTTGAATTAATGACTTTCATTGATTTCTCTTAAATTGCATTGATTTATCCTAAAATTCATTTCAATTAGATTTGATTCATTTCAATTCTCTTAAATTGCATTGATTTATCCTAAAAATTTCATTTCAATTAGAATTTGATTATTCACCATGCATGAGGATCAAACATAATATGGCCACCACAATTCTATGATACTTGGAATAGTAATTTTCTTTTTCTTTTTTTTAAAAAAAACTTAGGGATGATTCTGCTCAATCTAGGGCAACGTCTTTACATTATTCTATTAACATGAGAAAAGATTGTATAATTAAATTAAAAGCAAAAGCAAAAACGAAACTAAAATGGAAGACTACTTTATCAAAAGCATAAAACGACATGAGGAAAATGGAGAAAGCCCACATGGCCAAGAAACAAAAAAAGATGCTAAATTATGGAGGAAAAATGAAGAATAATTATTTTACAATTTTTTCCCCCACATCTTCATTGGAGAATAACAAAAATGTGCACATCTTAAAATTAAAATTGAACTGAAAAATATGATAGGTGAGACACTCAATTTATATGAAGGAATCCCACCTCTAATGAACTCTGATGAACCCTTCAGAAATCTGGAAAAAAAATTTGAAAAAAAACATTTCATAAATCTCAGAAAATTAAAAAAAAAACCACAATTTTGTGATGTTAAAGATCAAATTTTGATCATACCATCACGTTTTTTCTTCATGACATTCCTTGCAAACATCAGCAAAATGATAAGGAATCCCACACTTGCTGCCCCTCCTAATATTATAGCCACTGTCCTCCCTGTATTTTGTCCTGTTCCTACATCAATCAAGAACACAATTAATACCCAGAATTTGTTCTTCCATTAGGATTCAAAAGAAACCAAATACAATACCTGATGGTGATGATGATGATGATGATGAATGTGCGTATGAAGAAGAAGATGACCTTCTAGGGACCCCATTAGGATAATAATTGTAACTGATAAAGCATTTGTGGAGATAGATTTGACCTGAAATGGAACTCCCACATTCACCTTGAGCTCTTTGAACAGCACTCTTTACACACTCTCCACAATCCGAATCCCCCACATCTCCTTCACATTGCCCTAAAAGATAAACAGATTGGTAATTCGTGGTGTAAAAGCCATGGCTGCTGACAACCCCACTTTCCAATACAGAAAAGGCAGTGTCCCTCCTCTCTTCAAACCCAGTCCCGGCAACATTTGTAGCACCGCAGGTCTTGAACAGCATGTCCATGCCGGAGATTTGAGCAAAGCCGGCAACTTCATACAACATGTAGCAGCCGTAAAGTTGGATCCTTGAAGCTAATGTTTTGCCACAGAGTTTGTCGGCCAGAGTTGGGAGCCTGCTAGCACAGTTGTAGCAGTCGCTGTTGCTGAGGTCTCCCCTGCATTGGAAGAGACCGGTGATTGTTGTTTGGCCGGTGCCGGTTGTTGTCTTGTAGAACTTCACTTTCATGGACTGGGAAACCAGGGTTTGGAACAAGGCGGATAAGGCCTGGGAGTAAACCCCAGCTGGATCTGTGAAAGACTGCTTTGCACAACCTTTGTAGACCAGAGTGGTGTAGTCGGAAGCTGCTTCAACTGGAGGATGAAGTTGAAGAAATGAGGAGAAAACAAGGAATGAGAGGAAAGGGAACAAGTGTTTTGAAGAAAAACCAAAACCCATTTTGTTTGGGGTTGGATTTTTGGATCAAATCATGGTATTTTTGTTGCAGATTTGGTAGGGATCTGAATGAGCTTAATGGGTTTTTTCTTCAGATTCACTAGCCCTATGGAGAAAGGGATTTGAGATTTCTAACTATTCTTTTAATGGCCTACCTTTGAAGCGGTGCAAACAAATGAAAGAGGGAGAGAGGCAAAGGTTTATCTTTTGCTTTTCACAAGACATGAGGCGGAGCGTACAAAAGATGTGATAAAAAGAGGAAATTATACCATTCATCACTTAATTATCTTTTTATTCTTGTTTTGATCACTAAAATTTAACAACTTTTAATTTAATCATTCAATTTTTAAATTAATCATATTTTAATCATTCATATTAAAACCAGGATAGCCGAGTAGTGCGGGTCACATCCATAGGGTGTATCATCTCTATCTTCTTTTAATGCCTTTGTAGTAATTTCCATATATGTTTCTATCATTAGAATTTATGAAGGCTTAGAACTAAGGTAGCGGAGTAGTGTTGCCTTAGTTTAGGTTTTAACTCATTTTGACTTTATTCCTTCTCATAGCTTATTATCGTTGACTTCTGTATATCCTTCTCTTCATGCTTCCTCTTTTTAAATTTAGTCGGGTCTTACGTTTCTGTCTATATGCAGAGATTTTTTATGCAGAGATTTATTTGCAGGGATTACTTCCATTACAGACGCGTATATGAAGAAAGCATATGAAGACTGTTCAACTATGTATTTATTTATTTATGCATTGCATTTTATCTATATTTTTACTTTTTTGACTGTCGGAGGTCTTCCACGGAAGCTGCTCTCAACTTGACGTTGGATGCAACCAACTACCCTACCTCCCCTACCCTATTACATATGGGAATAGGGTTTTGTTATTGTCGTTGTTGTATCAATGACATGAATTATTTTATTAATATTTTACCTATGATGTGACATATTTTATTAGTATTTAATTCTATGTAGGATTTAAAATAAAATACTTAAATCATAATCTCAAACTCTAATCTGTAAACCTTAATCTCTAATCTCCAATATAAAAACCTCAAACCCAAATTTTCATTCTAACTGGCCACACCCTCACCGAACCTAAGCTAGAAACCATGCTCTTCAAACTCCCATAATCCTCGACCCCTAAAGACTCATTGAACTTAAACCTTCGAAGAACCTCCCCAAACAATTTCACAAGATCAAGGACAAGCATTTAAAGTCGTGTGAGGCATCGAGGTGTGTATTGGGTTCAAAAGGTGGAAGCGTTGGGGGAAAAAGAGGTGAATATCTTACATAAGGTGTTAGCGGTGACTAATGACTGACAACGGAGAGTTTATAACCAATGGGTTAGAGGGAAATGACGATGTGGACAACATCAACCATCTACCTTGGTGTGACGATATTTGATGAGTCTTTTGGCGGCACGAGGGATTAGCAACGGAATATGAAGTGGTTGGGGGTAAGGCCATCGATGGTGAGGGTAGAGTGGGGCTTGTGATTTAGGGGTGAGATCGTCAATGAGTTATTGTTCATCGAAGCGAGGACGAGATTTAGGACTAAAATTTAATGATATAATTTAGGTCTTTAAAATTATATTTTATTATAGTCTTACATAGCATTAAATATTAATAAAATATTCCAAATCATAAAAAAAACACTAATAAAATAATTCATGTCATCATAAAGTGATCGAGAGCTACTTAAAATTTGTATGACTAACTTGAAAAATTTTAAATTTTAATGACTTAAATATGAGTGAAAAGATAATTGAGCACTAATGATATAATTTACCCATGATAAAATAAATTTACAGTATTTTAAATATATTTTGAAAGTAGATCCTTCATTAAATACCAATATTAAGAATAACATCATTCTTAATACATACGAGTTCATCAAAATAAAACCATAGCGGATTGAATTGATTAGTTAAACAACCGTGTTGAAGCATTGTTTAATAGAAGGTAAGGAGGTATGATTGCGTGGGACGAAACTACCTTCAACTTTCACCTAAATCACTTTTATATATATATATAATATGAGTATTTAATAATTTAATATTTATAAATAGTTTAATCAAAAGAGTTTTATTTTGCTCTTAGTTCGATTAACATGTCACAATATTTAAAAAGTGCAAGATCCAAATTGTTACAAAAACAACTTTAATATTTTTTTCAGTATTTTATCTCAACGTGCTTGGTTTTGAATCTAATATATTTATTCCATTATGTTCTTTTTCCTCTTTTGGCAAGGCGGTTGCTTAGGTTGGTCTATGAATCACAAAGAGATTTTTGTGTTTTAAATTATTCGAATATGTAAATTTGTGCATAAATCAAGTGACTTCAATAGTAAAGGAATTGTTATTATTCCTTGAAGTCCTGAGTTTAAGCACTAGAAATGTTGAGGTATGAGCGTTCAATTTAAGTGGTTAAAACTTATATTTAAACAGATTATCTTGTACTTACCCCGTATTAATAAAAAGTAAAATATTTTTTTCTAAAAATGTAACTCACTTTTATATATATATATATATATATTACTATTTCAATTTAAAGTAAATACTTTTTATTCGTTAAATATTGAATTTGTAAAAAGTAAATTTTAAAATTTAAATCATATGTAATTAATTTGTTAAAATTTTAATTATCGAGGTTTAAATCTCTTTAAAATGAATCAAGCAACTTCAGTGATATCTTTTGAGGTTTCAAATTTAAGTACTGATGTTAAGTGTTCATGTCAAAATGTTAGAAATCTTTAAACATATACTATCTTGTAATTATTCTAGATTTATATATAAAAACTCAAAGGTAAATATGTTTTCTATTTTATAATTTAAAATCATATTTATATATTAAATCTGTATAGGTATAATAAGAGTTAAAAAATATATTATAAACGGGATAGGATTTTATATTAGATGAGGCGAATTTATAAATTTTAAAGTGGAGATGTACTTATAAACTTTAGGGGGAAACCAATTTTCAACAAATATATATATATATATATATATATATATATAATAAATATAAAAATTTAAGAGACAAAACAAATTTTAACAAAAAAAAATACAAAAATATATCTAGAATATAAAAAAAATTTATGGACGAGAGCACTCGCCTACCTCCTCTAGCTCTATCCATGTTCATAAATATCTAATTGTATTCGCTTCAAATTTGTAATGAATAACAATCTTAACATTGAATAATTTAATTCGTCTTCCATACTTGATATTAATATTATAATTTATCCCTATTTAGCTTGTCCCAAAATTATTCATATTCTAATTTAATTTATGTATTTTTTAAATGAATATTCAATTTTATTAAAATTTATTCATGATTTAATAACTTTTTATATTTTCTATATTTATTTTATATTCAAGATTTATAATCATTATGTTTAATAATATCCTCTTCAAATTTTAAAATTCAATTCTCTTCTTGAAAATACAACATATCTTACTATTGCATCAAATATATATTGATATAATCCAAATGTTATTATTTAATGCTCTAATGATAAATTATTAACCTTAAATATGATATTAAAAAGTCATTAAAAAACCTTAATTTCTATTTAAAAATTATAAATAAATAAATAAAATATGTGATAATTTTGTATTCTCGTTTGTAAAATAAAAATTAGGCTTAAATATACAAAAGGTGCCCAACTTATGTCTTTTTTTAGTTTAGTGTCTAACGTTTTTTCATTCTAGTTGATGCCTAACGTTTAATTGTTACTCAAAATGGGTCAAGCCGTGACGGACTGTTTGTTTTCTCCGCTAAGTGACACATGTCACAATCTCGTAATTTTAAAATTTATTTTTTATAAAATATATTATTATATTTATAAAAAAAACCCTTATTTCTTTTAAATTACCGAAAAAACCTCAAAATTCCTAAACTCCCCAAATCCTAACAATAACCCACCATCGCCACCCTTTCTGGCCACGACCACCGCCCCCGACGTAGTCCTTGTCATCATCCTAGTTATAAGTCGTCAATTGGCCGTCGAAATCGGTTGGGATTGCGATTTTCATCCTTGGGTTTGCGAGGTATAAAACATCGATTTATCATTGATCGACCGTTGATCAGTCATGATTTCATAGGGTTTTTTTCATCGGACGACGGAAAATGGCGACAGTCAATGTAGGTTTAGGGGTTGAAATGAATATTTTCAAAGTTTTGGGGTTATTTCAAAATTTATGTGTTTCATTTTTTAAAAATATATAATTTTATTTTTTTAATTTTATATACAATTTTTAAAATTATCAGATTGTGACACGTGTCACTTAATGGAGAAAACTAACGGTCCGTCATGGCTTGACCCATTTTTAGTAACGAAATGAAACGTTAGGCACCAATTGGAACGAAATAAACATTAGACAATAAATTGGAAAAAAGGCCATTGGTTGGGCACCTTTTGTATATTTCCTTAAAATTATCCTATATCAATATATATATATATATTGTAGACACCCGTTTTTTCCGGATCTAAAAATAATAATAATAATAATATTATTATTATTATTATTATTATTATTTTTTTATTAATATTATTTTACTTTTTGGTAGACCCAACAATTCAGGCCCAATTACAAAGAAAATTTGACCTAGTACAACAACCTAGCAGTACAAGACCCGACCCAAGAGGGTCCAATAACCCGACCCAGCTCCAGACCCAATGGTCGACCCGAACTGACCTAATTAATAACCTTAAATATTAGGGTTAGTCATCGCCAGCGGTTATTCGACTCCCCACCGACGAGTGCGATTCATCGGTCATCTCCCCGCGCGCGTCAGCCACTACCGTTTACTCTCGAGCCATCGTCATCAGTAATCTGGTCGAACAGTGACTGGACCTACATCAAACAACCACCAAATCAACAGAAATATCATCAACAGTGAACCAAATCAAAACCCCTTTTTAAAATACCTTATAATCCCGAAAATTCGGGATTCAACCACCCAAAATCAGAAATCTAATCCATAGCCTAGATATCATCATATCACCAGAAAATCAACAAAAAGGGAACCATTCGAGGGCAAAGGGAGAAGAGACCATAAGACAGAGAGGGAAAACATTGGAAAAAAGAAAATAATGAGAGAAAAAAAACCCTTCATCCTATTTGAAAGAAAAAAAGAGTAAAAAATAGAAAACACACAAGCAAATAGAGAATGAGAGAACCCTTACCTTGATCGGAGAAGCGTCTGA